TACATGGTTCAATAATTAAAATTTATCATATACATTATTATATTTATGTTAATATGAACATCATTTTTCAATTTGGAAATAACATTAAGATATTTTAATAGACTAGCTTAAAGTTTCATAAAGTATATATATGAGGAGATAAGAAACCAGTACTGTATTCAAATCATCATAGGTGTGTGTGAAATAAATAATATTTTTATAGATATACAACTTATAGATAATGGCAAAAAAAAATTTCTCCAATTTTTTTATTAATAATAAAAAATACCTCTTACGAAATATTGTTTACATTATAATCTCATCAAAAGTTCGATCAATGAATAATTTTTTTGTAACGTAAAATGATACACTTAAATCTTAACCAAGGTTGTACTCACTAGTCTTTTTTTTGAGGGGAAGCCGCTTAGCACCAACCGCTAGGTCTATGAAGTTGGTAGTGCTGGGCGCTACTCCGACTAAAACCCCTCGTTCACCTCTATTTTTCTATTTCACTCTTTCCTTATATTTCTCCCATTTCGTGGAAGTCCCTTTTTTCCTCCTCTTTTCTTTTCATTATTTTCCTAATGTTTTCCGTTATTTATTTTATTCCAATTTCCCTGGTATTCCATCATTTTTCCCACGATAGTTTGCGGCGAAAGGTCTAGTTCCTTAATAATTTCTCTGTCATGTCTCCACCTGACGCATGAGAAGACCGTTTGTTCTAGTGTGTTAAATATTGGGTGTCACGTACGCCCCTGGTGAAATCTAAAAAAGTTATTTATTTAGGAAGACATATTTTTTATCACTTTCGTACGATCCCGAATCATTTTTAATAAAATTAGAAAAAAACCGGATTTTTTATAATTTTATCACCGTGTAATTCTGACACATGTTTATATAAGATTTTTTGCTTATTTCTACATGCAGAAGAAGTCATTTCCTACTGAAACATTCTGTATACAGTTAGTGTTTAATTAAATGTAAAATTAATTTTTGTAGTACAGATTTTGTGTGTAAATATTTTTATTCATTTAAATAGTGTCCCTAGTCCGGTACTGTAAAAAATATGGGCATATTGTTTTAAAACAATAAAATGCTCTTTTGAGTTATGTCACAAATTTAATTAAAAAATCACGAGGTGACCTTTGTTTGTATTGTTTTGTTATGATTATTAGTATATTCATTTATTCCATGCAATTATTTTTATGCTGTTTTATATAACGATTTAATTAATATTACAAAAGGATGTGTACTTGTTTCTCATTTAAATTTTGTATATTTATGTGAATGCTTTTAAACACTTTAGACAAAGGAAATAATTTGAAAATACAGGTACCAAAAAATATACAAGAAAATATCGATCATCTCCAATATTAGAAATAAAAATAAACAAAAAACATATAGAATTGTAAGCAGCATGTCTCTTTGTATCTTAAACAAACTTAGAGGTATTTCTTAAACGCATCATCCTGTATTTTATTTAATATTTGAATTAACCCCACTTTTCTATTAAAACAATACCATATAGTATCAATAGTATCGAATTGGACAGGGTATTTTACACACTGTAACCAGTTTTATATATGTATATGAAAATCGCATTCATTTTAATAATCAGTACACGGAAGAAAAAACATTGTTCGAAAACAATTTTTTTATTTGGCTTTATATTAAGCAGTGGCGGCTCGTTGGGTGATTCACAGTGACAGAATATAGGTATCAGTACAGATGTATGAAGAAACTTTCAGAGTTTTAGAAAGTTTATAATATTCCTTTCTAAAACACTGACAGTTTTTTACCTATATCTGTACCGGGATCTATATTCCGCCCCTGGTTGTAAGGCAAATATAGAGAGAGCTAAGAGAGTCTGTGAGAACAAAGTTTTGGGAAGTTGAGGAATTAGCGAATATTAATGCTTGGTATAGGACGAACAGCTCAGCTGAAAAAATAGCAGCTTGTACATACTACTATATGTGAGAGTAATGACAACAGCTCCTGTTGTTCTTCCATCTAGCTTTGAAGCGTCAGTAAAAATTTGTAAGTACCCATCGAATTTGCAGAGGATATTGCTGAGACTTGTTTTGATAAGTTGAGTATTCGTTGAGTATTTGTCAAATGCAGTAATCGAGGTAAGACGTGTGGGATTTTTTATTTGCCAAGGAGGTGCAAACTTAGGGTGATTTAGTAGAAGGCATTGAGGAATAGAGTAGTGGTAGCTTCTTATTCTTGCATAGTAAGGTTTGAAGGTTCTAGGATGTTCCGAGAATAGAGCGTGAAATCTCTGGGAAAAACAGTTATCAACGGGTAGAATTTGTAGGAGAGGTCCTAATCTTCGTTGCATAGGCGAGGCTTACATTTAGTCTTCTGTTCTCCAAGGAAGGTTCACCGACATCGCAGTATGTATTTTCAACTGGGGTTGTACGAAATGCTCCTGTAATTATTCGAAATGCTGTGTTGTGGATAGTGTTCAGAGGCGCAGTTAAAGTTTTGGATACAGTTGTATAGATGATCGAACCGTAGTCCAATCTTCAGCGTAGGTAGTGTCTGACGGTCGGCTCCCCAGGTTTTATTTGAAAGCATTTTTAGAAGATTGAGTCTTTTGTGGCAGGATAAGATCAGATTTTTAATGTGAAGGTTCCATGTAAAAGATGAGTCAAAGGTCATTCCCAAAAACTTTATGGATGATTCGGATTTCAGATTTTTATTGTGAAGCGTTAATTTAGGTGTGACAGCAACATTTCTTTCAGAAAATAGGATGTAACAAGTTTTGGCGGTAGCAAAGGTGAAACCAGTTTTGCTGTGACCAAATCTCAAGTTGGTTAATAAATTGTTGAGTATCTAAAAAAATATTGTTTATGTGCTTGCCCTTGCAAAATACGACTAAGTTATCTAGAGACGAGCTTTGAGTGGTGGTTTAAGGCCTTTCAGTAAATCATTAATAGCTATTATGAAGAGAGTCGGGCTTACTGTGGAACCTTGGAGAAGACCGCTTTCAAGTATAATTTCATTGGAAAGAGTGACGTTGGTTTTCACCTTAAAAGATCTATTTGTCAAAAAGTTTTTAACGACATTAAGCCAGGTCACATGAGTATCTCAAGGTTAGTGTCAGGAGACGTGCTAGATATGAGATCAGACCACTTAACCAAGAGGTTCTCTTTTAATACTCTCTTTGAGGTTTTAATACAGGAAAGAGCGGAGATCACCATAAGGGAGCCCAATGCCCAACGACAGGAACAAACCTGGTATACAGACGGGTCTAAAACTGCGGAAGGTACTGGGGCAGGAGTATTCTCCAATAACCCAGATACTAACCATAGCTATACTATAGGAATATATTCCTCTGTATTTCAGGCCGAGGTATACGCAATTTTGCAATGTGCAAAAACGAACAATGAAAGAGCTGTCGAAAATCAGCATATTCAAATAATGTCAGACAGCTAAGCGGCACTTAAGGCCATATCGAGTTAGAAAGTTACGTTGAGGCTGGTATGGGAATGCATCGAAGAACTAAGAACACTGGCAGACCGAAATAGAGTAAAACTATTTTGGGTGCCAGGTCACAAAGGGATCGAAGGCAACGAAAAGGCTGACGAACTTGCAAAAAGAGGGTCAGAAGAAACACCGAAACCAGACGCAAACCCAGGAGTATCAAAAAGTACAGTCCGGGGTTTTATAAATGACTGGATTCGGGAACAACATATCAACTATTGGAGAAGCACCCCAAAACAGGCACATGGAAAAGCCTTCATAGGCAGACCATGTCCCAAAAGACTACTCTTAATGAATAGGAACCAGTTGAAAGTGATAACAAGGTTCATGACTGGGCACGCCCCAGTAAAAGGACACTTGAACAAAATTGGTATGTACAATGGGGAACTCATGTGCCAACTATGTCACAAGAAACCAGAAACGACCAAACACATGCGAAGTTTTAGATCGCAAAAGACAGGCTCTTTTTGGACAACCCCAGGTTGATCCAACAACTTATAGAACCCACTCACCCAAGGATCTGTACAAACTTGTACAAGGTACAAAGGTGACAGAGTGGGTGCTATGAACTAACATGGGGTAAAACACAATAAGCCAATAGGCTTCAGTGTTATTCGGAGACACATAGTCAGACAAGCCCAGGAGAAAAAAAAACGAAGGGGCAGTTGCCTTGTATGTTCCAGCTGTACAGCTTCTTAATTATATAGTCATGCCACGCAGTGTCAAAAGCTCGGTTAATATCAACAAAGAGACGTGTTTCGTTAACAATCATTGAATTGACACACATACTTCTAATTTATTAAATTCACAGTTTTATTTAAACACCGGTTTTTAAATAAACACAATTAAAATTGACTTATGGTGTATTTAAGAGTTCGATTGCTTGATTGGAAACATCAAGATAAAACAGTCTAGAGAGGAAATAGACTCTATTTTGCGATATGACAAGTGATCGCACTTTGAGTCGTATTTTGAATAATTTAACGTTAGTAATTTTATAATTGAAGATTGATTGAATAAAAATGTTTTTATACCATTTAAGTCATGATGTGAAGTGATTTTGCAACTGTAAGTGAATTATCTTATCATTTAGAAAAAAGAACACAGGAGCAAGAAAAATTGATTTCGTTATTAAAACAATGCAATAATTATCATAAGAATGCAGCTAATTCAATAGTGGTGGCTCCATCTCTTAGCAAAAATTTAAATCCAGCTACCTCTCATATTAATAATATTTCCACTAGCAGTCGAGATCACAAAAACCTGCTATGAATCCTTTTAACACCTTCAACCAAGCGATAAGAGCAAATCCAAATCATGATAATGAGAGACACATGAGAGTCACAATATCAACAATACAAAAAATGGGAACTCCAGTCGGAATCTCTTATTTTATAAAAACGTGCCATATAAAAATGAACCGATCATAGGTTGCAATGAAGCTGCAAATTTTAATACCATACCATAATAAGGACACGTACATGTCTCTCGCATAGGAGCCGACATGACATGCGAAGATATTCTTAACTTACTAAAAAAGACAGCGCCTAACATATCTTTCACCTGTGTAGAGTGGAGAAGAAATTAACATTCTTCCACCTACAGCCCAATACATTTCTGTGAGTTACAATAATGGTCTAACAAAAAATAAAAATCAAACATGTCTTAAAAGGTGTATTACAGATAATAGAATAAAGATGTTTAAACAGTCTCTAAGTAGTATAGATTAGAGTATTTTTTGTAATAAAGGTAATGATGTAATTTTTTTTGTCAACTTTTCTTATCAATACTTACCATAACTTAAGTATGAAATATTTTCCCTTTAGACAATGTAAAAATAATTTAAGAAATTCACCAGTAATATGGTTTGGCAACAGTCTAAAATCTCTAAGAAACGATCTCTCAACCATCAAACTAATAACAGACGTCACAAAAGATCCAAATGACATAAAAACGTACAAGAAACTCAAAAGCGAGTACAATGAAAAATTGAAATCCACAAAAAAACTGGCCTATGATGAATATATTACTCGAGCAGACAATAAAGCCAAGGCATGTTGGCAAATAATCAATTTCGAAAGAAATAATTTTGTACCATCCGTGAATAAGTAGATAAGTCAACTTTTAGTAAAAATAGGATATCTACATATATCTAAAGGGCTCTTCCCATTCTATTTGGTGAATAAATGGGTGACTCAAATTCGCAATAGCTTCCTGCATGAGTTTACTTCAGAGGACGCCGTGAATAGTTGGATTTCTCCAATTTTTTGTGCCAAAACTGGTAACTACAGCTATCCCCGGATTTGGAAGAGGTTTATCCAAAGTCGTTTTTTAGTTTTGTTTTTTAATCAAAATGTATGTTATATGAAATAAGTTCACTTTGCTTTTTTTATGAATAAATAAAAATATTGAAAAAATTTGTCCTCTTTATTTATACTAGAATAAGTCAGTAACTCAACAACAACGCACACATTTGAGGTCAATAAATAGGCAAGTCAGATTTTTTTCATTAAGCAATATAATTTCACAGGTCATAATTATTTACATTGTTGGTTGTATAATTAACAACATATTTCAAAAAAATTAAATTCAACTTAAAATTTGTTTTTCGAAAACATCAAAAAGTTGTTTGAAATGGCCATACTGAAAAACTTCAATTTTTGACTTACCGACTTATTCACAGATGGTACAGAATTTAAAAAGAAATCTAGTAACTCCTTATTTAACACCAAATTAAATAAATACATTTTTTAATACAACTGCTGCAAATATCATAAGATCTCTTCCTTATGTTTCGAATGCCAAACTTCTGAGTTTTAAACATTTTCCTATGCCCTGTAGCTTATTTTTCTTCCGCCCTGTTCTTGAGTCTGAAGTTTTTGACGCAATAACTTCTCTAAAAAATTCTAAATGTGTTGACACTCACGAGCTCAATAGTAAAATTTTAAAAGAGACTTGCAATATTATAATAAAACCGTTTACTGAACTGAATAATTTAATTTTATCCACTGGTATATTTCCTGAAGTACTTAAATACTCTAAAGTATTACCAATTTTCAAAAAAGGTGATGTCTCGAAAATTGATAACTATCGTACCATAAGTATTGTTTCAATATTTGGTAAAGTTTTTGAAAAAATTATAAAAAAACAATTATGTGAGTATTTTGAATTATACAACTTCTTCAGCAACTCCCAATATGGTTTTAGACTCTCTCGCTCTACTACACAGGCTGTTCTCAATGTTGTGAATGATGTAGTTGAGGAACTTGAGCAGGGAAATCACACAGCAGTAATGTTGTGCGATCTGTCAAAGGCTTTCGACTTTAATATTTTTCTGGAAAAGCTAAGCTTTTATGGAGTTAGGGGAATTCCACTAGCACTAATAAATTCATATATCAGTAACAGACAACAAGCTGTGATAAGTAATGGTGTTCTGTCTGACTTTCAGGCTGTAAGGCAAGGGGTTTCACAAGGTTCTGTTCTGGGCCCCCTTTTATTCATTGTTTATGTTACTGATCTAAGCCGTTTTATGCTACCTAATAAATCAATTTTATTTGCTGATAATACAACACTCATCTTAACAGACAAAAATAATAAAAAATTAATTTCTTCGTTTGATGAAATTGCGGACAAAGCAAACACATGGTTCTCAACCAACAAATTAAAACTTAACAGTGAAAAAACTCAAAATATGCAGATATCTGCCAATAATCAAATTATCTCAAAATGTGAAACAAAAAAAGTAAAATTACTTGGTATTACATTGGATAACAAACTCAATTGGTCGGCCCACCATTAATCAGTTAATGAAAAAACTTTCTAGTTCTTTGTTTATTCTTCGGCAGTTGAAAAAACTTACCAACTTAAATACCCTCAAAAATACGTATTTCTCTCTCTTTCAATCGCATGTCAGCTATGGTGTACCACTTTGGGAAAACTCTTCTCAAACTATTCAAATCTTCCGGATGCAAAAAAAAGCTATCAAAATTATGGCTAACATTGGATTCAGAGAATATTGTCTACAACATTTTATTAAATTTAAAATTATGCCACTATCAACTTTACATTTACATCATACACTTGTTGAAATTCATAGGAAACAGTCTGTTTTGCTGAAACAGTCCGATATTTATAATTACGAGACACGTAATTCACATTGTATTAGAAATACTCGTTTCAGGTTATTTATGTCTATCTAAAATAAATTCCCTAAATTATAACTTATTTAACATATTACCGCAGAATTTTAAAAATTTAAGTAATAATGCTTTTAAAAAAACAATAAAAATATATCTATTGAGACATTGTTTTTACTCTGTCAATAATTATGTAGCTCATTTTCGGTCTGTATGAGACATCTCACTGTCACTCTGCCTCATCACAATTTTAACCTTGATAAGTACCTAATAATTATTGTTTTTATTTACATTGTTCAAATTCTGGTACTCTAATAATTATTGTTTTATTTGTTTTATGTTACCGATTAAAAGAAAACCTCGTATTTATGAGACATTTATTAATAATTATAATATTATGGTCTTATTAAATTTCCTCAGTTAATATTTAAAGAATTTCTTCCTAACTCTTTTCCCTCAGTGTATACATTTTTTCGGTTGCCGGTCAACACGAACGACTACGAAGCTATATTGCTATTGGTATTGTATTTTTTGTATAAAAAGCATAAAAATTTCAAAATATGATTTGGTACAGATTTAGTTTTAACTGAATACAACTAACTTAAAAGACCCATAATTATTTTCTACCATCTGACTTAAAATGATTTACAACTCCAAAAATGTAACTATAACATTCTTTAAGTTCAACAAACTATAATTGCCGAACTCATTGTACCAAATCACCCTTTTTAGAAAGCGTTTCTAAATACACCCTTTCTTAACCAGTTTCTTTTAAAATCCTTGCTCTTTTCTTGTCTTTCCAAGTTAAAATTGGAATAGACGGAACTGTCAGATAAAATGAATATATTGATGTCCTTACAAGAATTATGTTGCAAAAATCGTGCCATATTTTTGGGGTGTGAGATATAGCTTTAAGGATCCATTATTAGCCTTAACAGAAGGAAGCCACCCCGCAACAGGTGGTATACAACAGTAATTTATCATTCTTGAGTTATTGGTTTGGTATCAGTTAAGCTGGATGTTTATTTTTATAAATGTGAGGTTTTGATTAAGTGTCCCATAACTTAATGATTGTTCTAAACGAAAAGTTATTATTATCATTGTTAATAATTTTAATAATACGCAATTTTTAAATTTTAATACCAATTACATGAATTTAGAATTTCTTTTAAATTTAGTGAATTTTTTATCTTAATAATTACTATATATCATATCTGAAGGTGTAATGATCCTTTGAGTCATTTAATACTTTCTTACAATGTCTTTTACCTTTTGCCTATTATATGAACTCTGTTACCTACATCTTCTTTGACTTTCTCTAAATATATTCAAAGCTCTGAACATAAATATATCTATTTAACCAGATAATTCTTTAAAAATAGGCGCAATCAAACGCAAATATACCTCAAAACACCTATGAGCTAACCCATTTTAAGATTTTCGTTAAGGTACTTTTTAAATAGTACAAGATGATTATTTGATAATTTTGGATTGCCTTTCGATCGGTGCTTATTAACTTCATTTTTTCTCCTTGATTTTAAAATCCCCTAAATAAAAACTTTTATTAATTTATAAAATAAACTTTAAAAATAAAAGAAGAATTTTCTTTAGGCAGGTTCTTAGCTTCGGAATTCATTCCTCGAACTTTCTTCACGAGCAAGTAGCATTATAATAGTTAGTTCAGATTCTGTGAGGAGGAGGAATGTGTAGCTGCAGTGATAACCAGTGAATGTAATTACAAACTTAGTGAGTTAGTTACTTAGTTATTGTATGTTAATATGTTATATTTATTTCATTGTCAATGTCGCTTTCTGTTTATTAAAGAGAACCCTGTTGACAGTACTTCATCAAGGTATCATCGAAGAAAGTAATTCACCGTGGAGAGCCCAAGTTTTAGTAACATGTACTAAAAATAATAAAAAGAGAATGGTTGTAGATTATTCTTGAACTATTAATAAATTTACTTTCCTAGATGCTTTTCCACTCCCTTGAGCTGAAGATGTTATACAGCATGTCTCTCAGTATCGAGTTTTTATTACAATCGAATCAAATTCCTATAAAATAATCAGACAAACACTACACGGCTTTCGAGGCATAAAGCATAATATACCAATTCCGTAGAATTCCGTTTGGAGTAACCAATGGCGTTCAGAGAGTCATTGACTCCATTATTTCCAACGAAAATCCAACTGGTAGAGTACAGAAGGAACACGATGAGAATTTAGGGAAATTTCTTAGTATTGCCAAAAAGTACAATCTTACCATTAATGAAAACAAATCTATGTTATCAAGTGATGAAATAAGTCTACTAGGTCATAATATTAAAGATGGTACAACTAGGCCTAATCCAGATCAAATTAAACCGCTTCTAAACTTACCAGAACGTCATAACATCCACTCATTACGCAGGGCTATGGGTTCATTAGCCCATTATTCTCAATAGATTTCAAGATTT